CCAGGGATGAGCAACTGGTTCAACACATCCTGATCCCATGGAGCTTCCCAGAACTGGGATGGGCTGGGATGCAGTTCCCAGGGAATGAGCACCCAGCTGATCCCATCCTGACCCCATGGAGCTTCCCAAAATTGGGAAAGGGAGGGAAGAACTGGGATTTGTCTCCCAGGGGATGAGTAACTGGTTCTCCACATCCTGATCCCATGGGGCTCCCCAGAACTGGGAAAGGGAGGGAAGGACTGGGATGCATCTCCCAGGGGACTGGTCCCATTCTGACCCCACAGCAATGAGCACCCAGCTGATCCCATCCTGACCCCATAGAGCTTCCCAAAATTGGGAAAGGGAGGGAAGAACTGGGATTTGTCTCCCAGGGGATGAGTAACTTGTTCTCCACATCCTGATCCCATGGAGCTCCCCAGAACTGGGAAAGGGAGGGAAGGACTGGGATTTGTCTCCCAGGGGATGAGCAACTGGTTTACCCCATCCTGACCCCATGGAGCTCCCCAGAACTGGGAAGGGAAGAACTGGGATTTGTCTCCCAGGGAATGAGTAACTGGTTCACCACATCCTGATCCCATGGGGCTCCCTAGAACTGGGAAAGGGAGGGAAGGACTGGGATGCATCTCCCAGGGGACTGGTCCCATTCTGACCCCACGGAGCTCCCCAGAACTGGGAAGGACTGGGATTTGTCTCCCAGGGGATGAGCACCCAACTCAGCCCATCCTGACCCCACGGAGCTCCCCAGAACTGAATGAATAACTGGTTCACCACATCCTGATCCCATGGGGCTCCCTAGAACTGGGAAAGGGAGGGAAGGACTGGGATGCATCTCCCAGGGGACTGGTCCCATTCTGACCCCACGGAGCTCCCCAGAACTGGGAAGGACTGGGATTTGTCTCCCAGGGGATGAGCACCCAGCTCACCCCATTCCAACCCTACGGGGCTCCCCAGAACTGGGAAAGGGAGGGAAGAACTGGGATTTGTCTTGCAGGGGATGAGTAACTGGTTCACTGCATCCTGACCCCATGGAGCTCCCCAGAACTGGGAAGGACTGGGATTTGTCTCCCAGGGGATGAGCACCCAGCTGATCCCATCCCAACCCCATGGAGCTCCCCAGAACTGGGAAGGGAAGAACTGGGATTTGTCTCCCAGGGAATGAATAACTGGTTCACCACATCCTGATCCCATGGGGCTCCCTAGAACTGGGAAAGGGAGGGAAGGACTGGGATGCATCTCCCAGGGGACTGGTCCCATTCTGACCCCACAGAGCTCCCCAGAACTGGGAAGGACTGGGATTTGTCTCCCAGGGATGAGCACCCAGCAGTGGGTGCTGCCCCCCTGGCATGGGGTGACCCCTCCCCAGTTCTGGGGCCTGTCCAGAGCCTTTTTAGGGCACAAAGGTTCTCATTGTGCCTCTGGCAAATCCCTAATCCCACGCTGGGCTGTGCCTGGAGAGGTAGTGCTGCTGCTGGGGGGATCTGTGCCTCCCTTTTCCCATTTTCCCACCGGGAATTGAGATTTGGATGGAGAGACACCATGCTCAGGGGTTTTTCCCTCCTCATCCTGCTGTGCTCCCAGGGGATGTGCCCATCCCGGTGGGGAAATGCCGAGTCTGGGATCCCAGTTCCTCCCTCTGGCTGGTTCCAGTGCTCTGCCAGCTGGAAGCAGCAGCAGCTCCTGTTAATCATCACCCTCTGCCCTCTGGGCTGCACGGAGCAAAGTCCCTCTGTGCTGGAGCCGAGTGCCCGTGGCTCCCTGGAGCATTTCACAGCCCCCAGGGGCTCCCAGTTCCCAACTGGGCTGCCCAGTCCAGTGTTGGAGGCAACTGGAGCCACCGTGGGCCGGATCAGCTGGGGCTGTGCAGAGCTGCCCACGCCTTGGGGGAGGGAAAACCAGTTCCCTCCTCACCTCTCCCTCCCTCCCTCCCAGCATGTTCCAGACCTTGTACAGCTATTTTTGGTGGGAAAGGCTGTGGCTCCCAGCAAACCTCACCTGGGCCGACCTGGAGGACAGGGATGGGAGAGTCTACGCCAAAGCCTCCGACCTCTACATCACCCTCCCCTTGGCCTTCCTCTTCCTCCTGGTCCGACACCTCTTCGAGACGTGAGTCCCATCCCTGGGGGGTCAGGGTGGATTTTAAGCCCTGCTCCTGCTCTCCCTCACCTTGGGGGGCTGTGGGTGAACCCCTGGATGGGTCACCCCATCCTCAGCTTGCTTGGGGATCCCCATGGCACCTCGGGGGTCTCATCCCCCCCAAAGTAAACCACGTGTCCCTACACAAACCCTGCTTTGTGCAGCCCCCACTGTCCTTACCCCGAGGAGCAATTCCTTGGGAAACAATGGGAACAGACTCAGCTTTGTTGGGATGGCAGGAGAAAGGGGGAGGGAGGAGATCCTGCAGTAGGGAGGGGGTACAGTCCTGTCCCCCCACTCACCCTGGGGAGGGATCAGCTCGTGGTAAAAGCTCAGAGAAGCCACAGCAGGATGGGGAGCTGGAGGTGTGAGTGGTTGTGGAGTTCTGGGTTAAATCATCCAGGGAATTTTTTTTCCCTCCTGCTCCGTGCCCAGGTACGTGGCCACTCCTCTGGCTGCACTGCTGAACGTCAAGGAGAAGATCAGGTTAAAAGCTACTCCAAATCCTGTGCTGGAGAAGTTTTATGCTGCCACCACCAAACACCCCAAGCAGGTGAGGGGAGGATAGGGATGGGATTCAATTCCCAGAGGATGGACATCCAACTCAGCCCATTCTCATCCCACGGAGCTCCCCAAAACGGAAGGACTGGGATTCACTTCCCAGAGGATGGACATCCAACTCAGCCCATCCTGACCCCATGGAGCTCCTGAGAACTGGGAAGGACTGGGATTCACCTCCCAGGGGATGGACATCCAACTCAGCCCATTCTCATCCCACGGAGCTCCCCAAAACGGAAGGACTGGGATTCACTTCCCAGAGGATGGACATCCAGCTCACCCCATCCTGACCCCACGGAGCTCCCCAGAACTGGGAAAGGGAGGGAAGGACTGGGATTTGTCTCCCAGGGAATGAGCACCCAGCTCACCCCATCCTGATCCCAAGGAGCTCCCCAGAACTGGGAAGGGGAGGGAAGGACGGGGATGCATCTCCCAGGGGATGGACATCCAACTCAGCCCATCCCAGCCCCATCCCAACTCCACAGAGCTCCGCGGAACTGGGAAGGACTGGGATTTGTCTCCCAGGGATGAGCACCCAGCTCACCCCATCCTGATCCCAAGGAGCTCCCCAGAACTGGGAAGGGGAGGGAAGGACGGGGATGCATCTCCCAGGGGATGGACATCCAACTCAGCCCATCCCAGCCCCATCCCAACTCCACAGAGCTCCCCGGAACTGGGAAGGACTGGGATTTGTCTCCCAGGGATGAGCACCCAGCTCACCCCATCCCAGCCCCATCCCAACTCCACGGAGCTCCCCGGAACTGGGAAAGGGAGAGAAGGACTGGGATTCACCTCCCAGGGGATGAGCACCTAGCTGATCCCATCCTGACCCCATGGAGCTCCCCAGAACTGGGAAGGGAAGAACTGGGATTTGTCTCCCAGGGAATGAGTAACTGGTTCACCACATCCTGATCCCATGGGGCTCCCTAGAACTGGGAAAGGGAGGGAAGGACTGGGATGCATCTCCCAGGGGACTGGTCCCATTCTGACCCCACGGAGCTCCCCAGAACTGGGAAGGGGAGGGAAGGACTGGGATTTGTCTCCCAGGGGATGAGCACCCAACTCAGCCCATCCTGACCCCACGGAGCTCCCCAGAACTGGGAAGAGGAGGGAAGGCCTGGGATGCTGCTCCCCCCATTGGGGCTGGGAGGGGATGAGCAGCAGAGCCAGAGCTCTGTGCCCCCGTGACAATGTCCCTGGTGTCCCCAGGCTGATGTGGAGGTTCTCTCCAAGAAAAGTGGCTGCACAGTGCGGCAGGTCGAGCGCGGGTTCCGTCGCCGCCGCAACCAGGACCGGCCCAGTCTGCTCAAGAAGTTCAGGGAGGCCAGGTGAGTCCTGCCCCATCCCCTACCTGGCTGGGAAGTGCCCTGGGAGGAGGGTGGGACCTGCAGGATATGGAGTCAGGGGGTCCATCCTCCCTCCCACCCACTCCCAGTGCTCCTCTGAGGACTATCTGCTTCCTTTTTCCAGTTGGAGATTCACCTTTTACCTTATTGCTTTCATTGCTGGCATGGCTGTCATAGTGGATGTGAGTATTGCTCTCCCTCCCTGGGCCTTCCTGGGCCCCCCTGACCCCCCCCCAAATTCCTCTAACACCTTTTTGTCTGTCTCCCTCCTCCCCATCCCACAGAAACCTTGGTTCTATGACCTCCGGGAGGTGTGGAAGGGATACCCCATCCAGGTGAGCTCCAAATTCCATCCCAACCCAATCCCATCCCATCCTTGGGATTCTCCTCAACCTGTGTCTTGGTTTCCAGAGCATGTTGCCCTCCCAGTACTGGTACTACATGATTGAGCTCTCCTTCTACTGGTCCCTGCTCTTCAGCATCGCCTCCGACGTCAAGCGCAAGGTGGGTTGAGGTGGGGGGAGGTCTGGGCTGGGGGTGGAGGACACTGGGACATCTTGGCTTTCCTCATCCTCCTGGTGGCCTTGAGGGACCAGCTGGGAGGAGCTCTCTTGTCCCAGGTTAGGAGGACAAGGGGGCACAGACTCAAGTTGTGCCAGGGG